ACATCTGTTCAAATAAAATCATGTTCCCATCGCACTAGGCAAGAAGAAAAATGTATGCATTAATATGTAGAGAATCAGTAGGAGGAAGCAGGAGGGAAAGAGAGCTTAAGTACAGATGTTTTATTCCCTACATCTCCTACCCCCAAATGATAAGATGCTCCCATGGGAAAATGCCCCCAAAGTATCAGCTCAATTCTGATGCACCAGGAACACAACTCCTTCCTTCGGGCCAGTCTAAATCTGAGCAAGAACTTCATCTACACGCTGGGAGAGGAGGGATGGGGCCTCGAGGACAGAGGAGGGAAGGGAAGAGGACTGAAGGATGGCTCTTCCAAGGCAAGGAGCTGGGGACGGAGAAGCACACAAGCCTGTGGGGAGCAGGGCAACAGAGGCCCAGATATCGCTACATGCTTCTCTCCTGGTTCCTTTCTTTCAAAACCAAACCTGATAGGTGACCATGACAAGGATACAATAAGGACAATTAAGAGACTCCCTTTTTATATTTTCTTTCCCCAGTTCACTCTCCTCCCCACCCCCTCTTCCAAATGTCCCGTATCACTACTTCTCATACTGCCTACACACAAACAAGGCAACCACAGACGTGGATGCCTTCAGCACGGAGAAGAAGAGCCAGCAGGCATTAACTTCAATTTGGCTAGGGCTGATAAAAGACTTGGGGTTGTCTGCTTCCCTGACTGCTCCCTTTAGCTAGGAAAGTGGTCCTGTGATGCACTTTGAACTAGGTGACTTTGAAGGCCCTTGGCCAAGCTGGATCAAGCTTCTTCTCTAGATGTGTGAATCAATCTGTTTTGATCACTGGTCAGTCTCCACTGACTACAGGGAACCTCAGAGTAGGCCTAAGGGATGAGAGAGAATACCATCTTTTGAGCAGGACCCCTCCCTTTTTGAAAATATAAATAGGGTCTAGGGCTGGAGTTTGGTTGACAGAGTGCTTGCCTAAAATGCATGAGGCTCTAGGTTCAACCCCAGCACCACTTGGTATGGCTATCTCACCTCTCAGGAGGGAGGCAGGAAGATCAAAAGTTCAAGGTCATCTTTGGCTACAGAAGTTGTTTGAGGCCAGCCTGGGCTACACAAGACCTCCATTTCAAAAAAAAAAAAAATCAAAGAGAAACAGGTGAAGGAGATATGCAAAGAGAAATGCTATTGATAAGAGATCTGAAATCCCATAAACACCCACTTTCAGTTTCAGAACCCTGGTTCTATTGAAAAGTGTTTTTTTGCACAAGCTGCTAGATTTTTCCCTTTAACGTAAGCTGACAGATTTGTGTAAGTAAAGGAGTCTTGATAAAAAGAGTGCTGTAATTAAGTAAGAAGCTTCAGGTACACTATCTCATTCGGGACTCCCAGGACCTAAACACATAATTAGGCAAATTACTCTGGCTTTTGTTTTACAGCTTAGAAAGTAAGGTCCTTGACCCGAGGATTTGCCTTGTTGGCTTCCAGGCACTCCTTGAAAAGATGCCCCCACAATTCAGAGAAAGGCATGGACACCCGAACAGAAAGGAGGATCCCAGAAGAGAGGCTCTGTAAGATGAGAGCCATGGGGGAGGTAAAACGGCTACATGGAGACAGTGTGGCAGCCCAGGCAGACTCAGGGGAGGGTGGCTGCTGGTCTAGCCAGCAGGCAGATGAGAAGAACAGAGCCATTAGCCCACAGGATCCTGGAGACTGTGCACTGTTGCTGTCTTAAACCATTTGGAAAGTCTTTAGGGAGTGGATGATAGAGTTCTCTAATAAATAATAATAAATATTAACAAATGGAGCTTGACCCTTGGTCTCCTGACTGATTTCAATAATTTACTCACTGCTCCAAGATGTGACTGAAACTGGAGAAAAATAATTCAGAAGTTTCATACATGTCATTTACATAATAGAAAATGAATTTTAACTCAGAACATCCAGTTGTGAAATTATCTTGTCCTTATGTAAATGAATTATAGATATATGTAATTAAATATGGACAGGTAGGAGTGTGTTAAGATACTTAATAAGGGTACACAATGACTAAATGCTTTTCTCCTCTGTGCTGAAGGAAAAATTTAAAGCCTACCAAAAGCAGAATACACAACAAGACTCAGAGCAATATTATTTCCAACAGGATGGATGAAAGAAAGAAAGAGAGAGAAGGAAAAGAGACAAATCATGAAATATTCATATAAAGGAAGAACAAGGAACTCTAGTTTCATTTATCAGCATAAGTATATCCCAAAACAGTTTTTGGAAGAGATTAAAACAACTATTTCAAAGTGATAGAATTAGACTTATAAAGAGAGCTAATTGGATCCTTCCTCGCATTGTATGAGACACACCAATAACTGGAGCCCCTACATCTACACTGATGCAAATAAATCAGGAAGGGCAGGTTACAAATCTGAAGATTTAAGTAAAGTGGAACATAGGCCTTATGATTCTGTCCAAAAGTCAGAATTATATGCTATTCTCATGGTACTAAGGGATTTTAAAGAACCTCTCAACATAATTACTAATTCGCAATATGCAGAAAGAGTTGTTTTGCATATTGAAATCAGTGAATTTATACCAGATGATACAGAATGGGAGATGGCTCAGATGAGCCTGAATTCACACAAAAGCTTTAGGGGTGGTGCATCTGTAATCTCAGTTCTGGAAGGACAGAGACAAGAGGATCCTGGCATCCACAGGCCAGCCAGCCCCGCTGAAGGTATCAGCTCCAGGTTCAGAGAGACACTATCTCAAAAAACAAAGCGAAAAGCACAAGGGAGATACCCAACATTGACCTCTGGTCTCCACAAACACCCATGAACATGCATGCACACACAGACACACAAACACAACACAGGAGAGAGAGAGAACACAAATAATTTAATGAAATTTAAATAAAAATCTCCAAAATATAAATCTTGGCAACAATTGTTTAGGAATATATATCCAAGAAAAGCAATCATTTTCAAGGGAATAATAAAACTTGAGTCGATTCCCTTCACGGGAAGGACAGCTTGGAGAAAATGGCAAAGATACCTTCTGAAGTGACTGGTTGTGTTTCACTTCTTAATCTGGACAGGAGATAAAGATGTACACTTTAAAACACCCTCTACTAGCCGGGCGGTAGTGGCGCGCACCTTTAATCCCAGCACTTGGGAGGCAGAAGCAGAAGCAGGCGGATCTTTGTGAGTCTACAGAGTGAGTTGCAGGCTAGGCTCCAAAGCTACAGAGAAACTCTGTCTCAAAAAAGAAAAAGAAAGAAAAAAGAAAAAGAAAAAAAAGCCTATACTATTTGTCTGTGATAAGCAGTCCCTTATATTTAAGAAATTTTTTTCATAAGAACACTATTTAAAATATAATCAAAGAACCTAGTAAAAGAAAGTTACAAATTGTCTCCAGCAATATGCTTTTGTAATTCACAAAAGTCAACCTGTGCCTAAATGCTCAATAATTTTATTTTTAACTTAAACACAGCTGTTGTAGTGGCTCATACTTATAACCCCAGTACTTGGAAGGCTATGGCAGGAGAATCATCATGAGTTCAAAATAAACCTGAGCTACAAAGTGAGGCCCTGATATACAAAAAAAAAACAAAAACAAAAACAAAAACAAGGCCAGTGAGGTGGCTCAGTGGGTAAACAGAAGCATGAAGACCAGAATTCCACCCCCTGAACCCACAGTGGAAAGAACCTCCAAAAGTTGTTCTTGACCTCCACAAGTGCTCTCTCTCTCACACACACACACACACACACACACACACACACACACACACCATACACACACGTACACACATAATCGTAAAGGAAAGCAAACAGATGAACAAAAGTCACAGCAGGTATACTACAGAGATGTAACTGACTTCAGAGGTGTTTACACAGTAACAATGCCAAAGTCTCCTACAGTTCACAATTCATACTAAAGTTATTGTCAAAGGAGGCAGCTGTAATGGTACAAGTCTGTAAACCCATCAGTCAGCAGGCAGAGGTTATCAAGTTCAAGGCCACCTAGGCTATACTGCAGGCTCCAGGCAAGCCTGGGCTGGAGTGAGACCCTGTCTCTGAAAATCAAATGAAGGTTAAGAATACTTCCTGTGCTGGGCAGTGGTGGTGCACGCCTTTAATCCCAGCACTTGGGAGGCAGAGGCAGGCAGATCTCTGTGAGTTTGATGCCACTCTGGTCTTCAGAGCGAGTTCCAGGACAGCCATGGCTATTACAGAGAAAAACCCTGTCTCGAAAAAACAAAACAAAACAAAAAGAATACCTCCTGCTCTTCCAGTTCCTGGCATCCACATGGGCCTGCGCACAACTGCCTGTAACTCCAGCTACAGGGGGATTAACATTCTCTTCCGGCTCCTGTATATATGCAGCATGGATACTCATACAGCTGGGAGATGAGGTGCCTGCTCTCCCAGGTGGGGACCAGGTAAATGACTTAGACTTTCCATCCATTTGCCTGCCTTGAATGTACCACACTACATACTAAAAGACCCTTCCCTGGCAGAGGTGACTGACTCAGGACGAGGCAGCCAACCCAAAGCCAGCCAATCACGTTGCCACCTGCCCACCCTTCCAGCTTTGTTCCAGCACCTTCCCCTCATGTCTGTGAACTTGCTGTACCTTTCCTTGACAGAACGCACTTCCAGGCCCAGGGACTACACGTGCATCGTATGATCATGCATTCTGTATCCCCTCTAACCAGAAGCTCTGGGAGGCTAGGAAAGGGTGAGTGTGGACTCACAATTGTGTTAAATCAGTTAGTGCAATTCCTGGCACCAAGTAAGGAGTATATCAGAACTGTTTTTAAGAAAAGAGCAAAACAATTGTAATAGCATATCTTCTTTTCTCAAAAGCGTTATTTTTATTTCATTAAACTTAAATAGAAATATTTGCTTTAAGACCCAAAATTATGACAAAGGAACCAAGGTCATAATAGAATCTACATGCAACCTCGGAAAGGACAATGTCACAGAATGTCATGTTAAATTTTACAATTGTAAGGAATTTGTAGAACATACCTGAATGAAGCTGAATTTTCCCAATAACTCCTTCTACCAATCCCAGACAAATCGGGTTCCAGGCAAGAAGCAGATCAGTGGCTAAAATAAAGCACGAAGCAATCATGAGAACGTATTTACCAGAAAATGTCAAACTATCGCTTGCAGCATATTTGAGAAGGATCAGTACACTCCCAAAAGCAGTTATAAACGTCCCCCATAGCTCGCATTACCATAAAGGACTCTGAGGTAAAGCACTAACTCTGGGTACCAGGGCAGCTACGGGGTGAGAAAGGGGCTGAAAAACTCCGTGGATGGAGGCAGTGCGGGGCCCTGCAGGGGTGGAAACAGGCTGCTGCACTACAGAGGGTAAAGGAAGCGCCCACCCAGGAGCCCCAGACCCAAAGACAAGGCCTGAAAATGGCCACAGTGCTGGCCACTTCCTGATCACACTCATACAGTCATACACAAGGCAAAGGAAACCAGGAAGCCACTTCCCTTACACATGATTCTAGGACAAAGCCAATAGGAGCTGCTTCTTTTCTGAGCGCTACTGCATGTGTGTCCCTTATTGGAACACACAACAGGCTACAGTGATTTGCATGTAAACTAATACCGTTCTAGACATCCAAAAGAGAAGCAAATTATATATCAAACATGCCGAAGGTCAAAGGGCATAATTTAACTCTTCTCCAACCTGGGCCACAAAAGAGTGCTACATGCATAGTGGTAAACACAATGTTTCTGGTAGTTCAACAGCTGCAAAAGATCAGCAAGATTTAAAGCCCGTTGGTTCAGGCCAGCAAGATGGCTGGAGGATGGAAGCACTTACCATGGAAGCAGAGTATGTGCCCAGAACCAACGGAAAAAGGGCAGAGCCAACAAGCTGCCCTCTGACCCCCGCATGTGTGCTGAGGCACATATGCTAAAAAGCTAAATTTAAAATTTTTCTGCTGACAAAAATTACATTTTAATTATAACCACTTAAATTTTATTTGACTGAAATATTATCTGTTACTAGTAGGGTAATTATACAGCAATAGTTTAGTTTTCAAATTCATTTACATTTTGATTTTTTTTTCATTATGTACTAGTTTCTTGAGTTAGGAGCTCCCTATGTAGCCATGGCTAACCTTGAACTCATGGTGATACTTCAGCTTCAGTCCCTATGGCTGGACTGCCATTTCTTAAATGTCTTTATTGCTACATTTTCACTAAAAAACAAAAACAGCACATTTCTTTGGTTGTTGCTATTTTGGAGTGCTGGGGTTAAAACCCAGGATTTCACACATACTGGGCAAGGTGTTACTACCAAGATATACTAACTCCAACTTCATCGTTTTTATTGTAAGAATTAATGGGGGGGATTTAAAGGCTCCTATATATGTTACCATTTCTAATTGTTTTTGTTTTATTTATCGTGTGTGTGTGTGTGTGTGTGTGTGTGTGTGTGTGTGTGTGAGAAAGCTGGGGCATAAATATGCCATGGTGCACACATGGAGGTCGGACAATAAGTTGGGGAAATCTGTTCTCTCCTTCCACCATGTGGGATCAGGGATCAAACTCAGGCTGCCAGGCTTTTGAAGCAAGTGCCTTTATCCACTGAGCCATCTTGCCAGCCCTCATTTCTAATCTTGACAACATTATGAGGCTGACACCAGGAGTCCCATTTTACAAGTGAAGAAATAATGCTGAGAAAAGTAGTAATCAAATCATCCACAGGTCAGGAGGCAGACCTGCAAGCAAAAGAGAAGTCTAGTAAAGCTGAGACTCAAAAACTTCTATTAAATAAAAAACAGGTGTGATTTTCAGGTCATTCTGGTCTACAAATCGAGTTCCAGGACATCCAGGGCTCTTGCAGAGAAACCTTGTCTCAGAAAATATAAAAATAAAAAATAAAAAGCAAACAAACAACAAGTGGCACATGCTTTAATCAACACTTAGGGGGCAGAAGCAGATGGATCTCTGTGAGTTCAAGGCCAGCCTGGTCTATATAGTGAGTTCTAGGACATCCAGGACAACAGAGTTTTGAGATCCTGTCTCAAAATTTAAAAAAATAAGATAATAAAAGTCTAGAGCCAGGAATGGTGATGCATGCCTGTACTCTCAGCACTCAGCTTCTTCGTTCCAAGCCAACCTGGGATACACAGTAAATTTGAGGCTAGCCTTTGATAACAGCAAGCCTGTGCCTCAAAAGAAAGAAAACCAAAGAGGTCTGCCAATCTGATTTGGGTTATACACCTCCGTAAACTTGCTCTAACTCCTCCCTCAGAAACTACACAGGGAGCTACTGAAACAGGAAGTTTTAAATGCCATGTATGATTACAAAGTAACACCACGAAACTGAGAGGAAATTGGCCACTGAGGTTAAGAGTCCTCACTTCAGGCCTCTGTCTGTGCATTAACTAAGTGCCACACACAACCACCCACTTTTATAAGCAACATTGCCTGACGACAAAATTTTTTGTTTGTCTTTTTCCAGGGCTGTAGAGATGGTGTGGTGGGAACCAGGCTGATCTCTGGCTTTCTCTGAGGCCCTGATGGATAAAAAGGGAAACTTCTGAAGAAGGCCATTAATGGCGTGGGGCCAGGATCTTGGGGTAGTTTAAGTTTTGGATCCTGAGAACCCAATACTTCCCCCAAGAACAGTGGTTCTCACCTTCCTAAAGCTGCAACCCTTTAATACAGTTCCTCATGTTGTGACCCCCCCAACCATAAAATTATGTTCATTGCTACTTTATAACTGTAATTTTGCAGCTATTATGAATTGTAATGTTATTATCTGTGTTTTCTAATGGTCTTAGGTGACCCCCATGAAAGCGTCATTAGACCTAGAAGGGGTTGCAACCCACATGTTGAGAACCAATAACCTACAGGGTTACGGACACTGTATGCTTGTGACAAACTTGAGTTGTCCTGTGTTCCCTTTGTGCATCTTGATTACCACCCAGCTGACTCTGACCCATTGTATGACAGTTTCTATTTACTGTCCAGCTTTCCCTGCAAAATGTATGTACGTGTGGTGCTATATTTCCTAATAAACTTGTGCAGAGCAGCCGGGCGATGGTGGCACATGCCTTTAATCCCAGCACTCGGGAGGCAGAGGCAGGTGGGTCTCTGTGAGTTCGAGACCAGCCTGGTCTACAGAGCTAGTTCCAGGACAGGCTCCAAAGCCACAGAGAAACCCTGTCTCGAAAAACCAAAAATAAATAAATACATACATACATACATACATACATACATAAACAAACAAACAAACAAACTTGTGCGGATAAGACACAGTTTATATGATCCCTTCTAGGTCCCAACTTTCCTGTCTTCCTTATCTTCTGATCTCCTGGTCCTTCCTTTCAGAAACCTGTCCCTGAAGAATGACCTGTTGGTCCAGGTCAATAGTGCAACTGTTAAGAACACTTGCTGCTCTTACAGAGAACTAGGGTCCAAGTCAAACCGACAAAATGGCCGACGGTCATCTATAACTCTAGTTCCAGGACATCTGACACCCTCTTCTAATCTCCATGGGCACTGCACACTGTGGTGCACTTACTTACACTCATATGAGCAAAACACTTAGATACATAAACTAAAAATAAATCTTTTTTTATGTTTATTTATTTATTATGTATACAATATTCTTTCTGCATGTATGCCTGCAGGCCAGAAGAGGGCACCAGACCTCATTACAGATGGTTGTGAGCCACCATGTGGTTGCCAGGAATTGAACTCAGGAACGCTGGAAGAGCAGACAATGCTCTTAACCACTGAGCCATCTCTCCAGCCCTAAAAATGAATCTTATAAAAAAAAAATGTTTTTAAGAATTAAAATATCCTTAAAATCATGACTTCACCTGGAGGTATAATTTTCATTTAAGAAAATACTTCCTTACTTAAACATCAAGCTTTTTTTTTATTATAAAAACACTGCAATACAAATGATGAATTCTAAATAAGTATTTCATTTGCTTCCAACCACATTAGCTTTAGGATATAAATTCCTAGGAATGAAATTAGTCTTTACAACATTTGAAGAATTAAGGCTCTCAAGTGATGTGGGATTCCCTTCTGTATGTTGTGAATAGGTTTTATTACCACTGGATAATAAAGAAGCTGCTTTGGCTTATGTCAGGGCAGAATATAGCAAGGCAGGAAATTCAAGCAGAGATAGATGAGTAAAGAAGGTAGAGTCTGCCAAAGGAGAAGGACACAAGAACCTTACTGGTAAACCACAGCCTCATGGTGATATACAGATTAAAAGAAATGGGTTATTTTAAGATGTAAGAGCTAGCTAAGAATATGCCCGAGCCATTAGTCAAATGGTATTGGAATTAATATAGTTTCTGTGTGATTATTTGGGTCTGGGAGGTTAAGAAACGAAAATGCAGCCTCCATTTACAAATGGCACCCACCGTCTGGCATGGATCCACGTGAGACCTAAAAAAGCTTAAGGGGGACGGAGGAAAGAGGGCTTCTAGACCCACAAAAATGGAAGCAAACACAGCTTCTTGGCAGCTGCATTATTTTTCAGACAGGTTCTGTTTGCTGTCCACAAGCAGAGGCGTGGGTCCTTTAAGAAACAGCTTCCTGGTTAATACTGGCAGAATGATGGAATCTGGCTCTTTCAGGAGGTCCTGCTACAGAGCAGTTGGGGTTTGTGAGCAGAGTGCTACAAGTTACTTAACGGTGGAGACATAGAGCCACTGAGTCCCTAGAACTAGGGAGTGAATATGGCTTGCAGAGCTGGCAATAAAGGTATCTCTGCCATTTTGAAAGGTGGAGAGAGGCGGAGTCAGCACTCAGGGCCTCCGTGTCAACATTGCTTACCATTTTAAAAATTATTCCTGTTCAAAAAAGAACTTCAGATACACAACAGGATACACACAGTGTGTTTTTAAAAGGTGTGTATTTGGGAGAGAGAAGAAAAGGGTAGAAAGTTTTAAAAAGAAATAGTTTTAAAAAAATAAAACAAAGTCTTTAAAGAGATAGCAAAAGTAATATAAAAGAGTACAGTCATAGATAAAAGTAGTAAAGATAATAAAATAAATATTAAAAAGTAATAGAGTAAAAAAGCCAAATAAAGATGAAAAATACATAGAGAGTCTGGA